GGACTTGTGTATCAATGTTGATGAGAGATATTGGTCTATAGTTTTCTTACAATGTGGTTATCTGTTTTTTTTTTTGAGACAGAGTCTCACTCTGCTGCCCGGGCTAGAGTGCCCATGGCACCAGCCTAGCTCACAGCAACCTCAAACTCCTGGGCTCAAGCAATCCTTCTGTCTCAGCCTTCCGAGTAGCTGGGACCACAGGCATGAGCCACCATGCCTGGCTAATTTTTTTCTATATATTTTTAGTTGTCCAGCTAATTTCTTTCTATTTTTAGTAGAGGTGGGGTCTCGCTCTTGCTCAGGCAGGGCTCAAAATCCTGAGCTCAAACGATCTGCCCACCTTGGCCTCCCAGAGTGCTAGGATTACAGGCGTGAGCCCCCGCGCCCGGCCAGTTATCTGGTTTTGGTATCAGGGTAATGCTGGCCTCGTAAGTCAGGAAATGCCCCCCTTTTTTATTTTCTAGAAGGATTAATATTATTTCTTCCTTAAATGTTTGATAGAAATTCACCAGTGAAGATAAATGAATGCAAAGTTTTCTTTTTGAGTTGATTTTAAATTATAAATTCAATTTCTTTAATCGATTTAGGGCTATTCACGTTTTCTATTTCTTCCGGAATCAGTTTCGATAATTTGTGATTTTCAATGTTCTAAATCTGTGCTGTTCAACATGGTAGACACTAGCCATATAGGACTACTGAGTACCAGAAATGTGGGAAATGTAACTGAGGAATGGAATTTTTAATTTGTTTCATTTTAATTAATTTAATTTCAAATTAAATAGCTACATATGGCTAATGGCTACCACACTGAACAATGCAGTAAAAGCCTAAAACAGTCCTGTTTTAATTACTTACTTACTTAATTATTTATTTATTATTTTTAGAAACAGGGTCTTGATCTGTCACCCAGGCTGGAGCACAGTGGCCTGATCATAGTTCACTGCAGCCTTGAACTCCTGGGGTCAAGCAATCCTCCCATTTCAGCCTCCCCAAAATGCTGGGATTACAGATGTTAGCCACTGTGCCTGGCCCTGTTGCTATTTTTAAGTATAGTCACAAACCTGTATAATGAAAGAAAAATCCTTTATTTAATATGAAGACAACTACATTGTATTAATACTTTGTAGCATATATGTATATGTGTTTAGCTTCCATAAGAAGCTAAATCAATTCTAGGAATTCATGCCATTTCCAGAGTAAACTTAGATTAGCCACATTCTGGACTCAACCTTAAGATGCATCCACCCAAGATGAACCAGTAATCACTTTGGGCCCAAGTGACTTTCTAAACTAGGATAAAGTGAGACAAGGCAACTGCAGGGCTGAGCCAACTGCTCTTGGGCCTGCCCTAATCTTAAACTCAGACTAGATCTGGGCTCTAGAATTTGGAAGGGCACAGCAATTCTTTTGGTGGCCCTCATAATAGAATTGGCTGCTGTAGACAAGGATGTTCCTAATCTTAGATTCTCCCTCGGTGTATGAGGTAACAGAGAGTTAGAGTCCTATAACAGAGTCAAATTACAGATTTATAAACTGAACCTAGAAATCCAGACATCTCTTCTGACTCTGACCCGATGAAGACAAGTGAGAGATAACCTAACACGAAAACAGGTTTATTGGTTATTTTACACAAAAGAATGTTAGCAGTTTGTAAGTATTTAACATAAAAAAGGCGCAGTACAAGCTGCCTTTCTTTACCATAAGAAAGTATATCCACTCCAAGCAAAGAGAACAGAGTCAAACTTCAAGTTTACGTAACAGACATAATAAAAAGAAGCTCGGAGTCCCTGCCTTGTTAGGAAAATGGACAAAACCTTCTAAAAGTAAATGAAATAAAAAGAAATTAAAACTAAAGTATTGATTCCTACAATAACATTAACTAATATTTGTCTATGACATGAGATAGAACATTCAAAATTCAAACATAAAGCCAATATTTTAAAAAGAAAAAAGCACTGGTAAAGTTGTCAGGTACCAATTTTTTAAAAAACACATGACTAATAGTTTTACCAACTCCTTTCAAACCAATCTGAAAGCCAAAAACAAAAAACAAAAATTTAAAAATTATAGCTTCTTCCTGATACTAAGAGCAAGATTTTTCCTTTCTTCAAATCAGAGGAACCCAAATTATGATAAATAATTCACTCTGGCCACTGGGAACATTACTGCACAGTGACATAATCAGAAATTTTACTTCTTCCATTATTTAACTTATTCATTCCCACTCTAATCCAAATACCAGGAATGTAGGAGTAAGCAAGAGGATGTAATTTTCCCCGAAGCCTGCAACTGAACATTATGAAATTTACATGAGGAACTTAAGCACTGTGGAAGGTCCTGATGGCAGGGGAAATGGGCCACTTTTATGGCCTTAAGAACAAATTGCAAATCTCTAAGGCAGATTTAGAGAAGGGTTTATCCAGGGATCAGTCTTCTCCAAGGCTGGACAGGGAGGCAGTGTGGAAAGCACAGCTCTTCTTAAAGGATGAAACACGTCACTTGGAGATACTCTGGTTTCCTGAAGAAGAGAAGGAGACGCTGAAACATCTTGTTTTGTGCATTTTAAATCTTCCTTGTTTTTCACCATCAATAACTGTTCTATCTCTTCTTTCAAAGATAAATTTGCCTGAAACTCATGTTTCGGTATTGTAAAGTGTTCTTTTTGAGTTATTTTCTGGTCCTCTGACCTCTTTGATGCCAGGTAAATGAGTTTGTTACTGGAATCCTCACTGGCTTCCCCATCCTTTATGGAAGGTAAAGGTTGAGGTTTTGTAGTTTCTTTACTCTTAGATTCTTCTTTCAGAAAATTCACATCGTCATGAGATTCAGGACATATATTAATAAAACTTGGAGATTTATTTGTCTGAGAATCTTTACAAAATAAAAAACCTTTGATATTTTCCTCTTTTCCTGCTGTCTCTGTCAATAATTTCTTTGGATGTAGCACTGTCCTTATCAGGAGGCCCTGTGCATTCATCCTATATTCTTTCACAGCTCTCTCTCTGCGCTGCTTCTGAAAGTCCTTGAGTTGAAGCAGTTCCTCTGGCAGCTCCATACACGTAGCCTAAGAAAAGAAAATGGACATGAGTTACTCATAACTAAACTTCTGAATCAGTTACTTAAAATCAATGGTAATTGGCAAGGGAGGGTCTATTCAAATATGCTCATATAGCACCCTCTAGTGTCTCCAACTATAGTAATAATACTTTTTTTTTTCTTTTTACTCAAGTAAATTTAGCCACAGAATAGTACTATTTTTTGAGTAATTTAAATATTTTGAAAAGGCAATGAATCTACAAGAGTGTGCGTGTGTATACGCATGTATGAATAAAGATTATACAGGAAAAGAAAGTCTCTCTTCCAATCTGGCACCAGTTGCCTTAGCAGGTACATCCTCTGAAAAGCAATGTCTTGTGTAATCTCCCAGAGATAGTCTATGCATGTATGATTGTATGTATATACATATATCTCTTACTAAATGTTTATCCTTTTATTGGATTACATTTTTATTTTCCCCCAAATTTTTATTTATGTGTTTATTTATTTATTTTTGAGGCAGTCTTGCTCTGTCACCTGCGCTAGAGTGCAGTGGCATCATCATACCTCCCTGTAACCTCAAGCTCCTGGGCTCAAACGACCCTACTGCTCAGCTGGGACTACAGGAGTGCACCACCATGCCCAGCTAATTTTTCTATTTTCTGTAGAGACAGAGTCTCACTCTGTTGCCCGGGCTAGAGTGCCGTGGCGTCAGCCTAGCTCACAGCAACCTCAAACTCCTGGGCTCAAGCAATCCTCCTGCCTCAGCCTCCCAGAGTGCTAGGATTACAGGCGTGAGCCACCGTGCCTGGCCAGTAATAGCTGGTTTTTTTTTTTTCAATTTAGTTATTGTGGTAAAATGGATATAATAGAAAATTTACCGTCTTATCCATTTTAAAGTGTATAGTTTAGGGATATTAAGTACATTCACATTCTCGTGCAACCGTTACCACCATCCATCTCAAGAACTCTTCCATCTTGCAGAACTGAAACTGTATATTAATTAAACATCAACTCCCCATTCTCCCCAAACCCAGCGCATGGCAACGACCATTCTACTTTCTGCCTGTATGATTTTGACCACACAAAGTACCTCATATAAATGGAATCAAATAGTATTTGCCATTTTGGATCGGCTCATTTCACTTAGCATCTGTTCTCAAGGTTCATCCATGTTGTAGCATATGTCAGAATTTCCTTCCTTTTTAAGGCTGAATAACATTCCATTTATGTATATTCCATATTTTGCTTATCCATTCATTCATTGATGAACACTTGGGCTGCTTCCATGTTTTAGCTATTATGAATAATCTGTTATCAGCAGGGATGTACAAATATCTTTTCAAGACCCTGCTTTCAATTATTTTAGGTATATATCAAGAAGTGGAATTGCTAGATTGTATGGTAATTTTATTTTAATTTTTGAGGAACTGTCATATTGTTTTCAACAGAACCAGTACCATTTTATATTGCTGTCGACAGTGCACAAGGGTTCCAATTTTGCCATATCCTCACCAGCATTTATTTTCTGTTTGTTTTGTGGTATCCATCCTAATGGGTATGAGGCAGTATCTTATTGTAGATTTGATTTGCATTTCTCCAATGATGAGTAATATTGAGCATCTTTTCTTATGCCTATTGACCATTTGTCTATTTTCTGTGGAGAAATGTCTATTCAAGTCTTTTGCTCATTTTGAATTTGATTTTTATTGTGCAGTTGAGTTTTAGAAGTTCTCTCTGTATATTTTGGACATGAATTCCTTATCAGATATGTGATTAGCAAGTATTTTCTGCCATTCTGTGAGTTGCCACTTCACTCTGTCAATAGTGTTTTTTGATGCACAAAATATTTTAATTTCAACAAAGGCAAATGTGTCTGTTTTTTCTTCTGTAGTGTATGTCTTTGGTGTCAGTAATAGTTTTTTTGGTTGTTTTTTTAAAGATGGGATCTTGCTATGTGGCCTGGGTTGGAGTGCAGTGGCTATTCACAGGCATCATCATAGCTCACTGCAACCTCAAACTCCAGGGCTCAAGTGATCCTCTTGCCTCAGCCTCCCGAGTAGCTGGGACTACAGGTACACACCATATCCTGCTTAGCAACAGGTTTTTAAGAAAGACTTTTATTAGGGACATGTCTCCTGCTAATCTTAGTTTGCTGGGGGCTTTTTTTTTCCTATCATAAATAAAGGCACAATTTTGTCAATTTTTTTTCTGTAACTATTGAGATAATCATATGGTTTTTTTCCTTAATTCTGCTAATATGAGGCATTACCTTTTCATGTTATATGATACTTGCATTCCTGGGACAATCTCCACTTAGTCATGATGTATTATCTTTTTTATATATTTCTGGATTCTACTTGTTACTATTTTGTTCAGGACTTGTGTATCAATGTTGATGAGAGATATTGGTCTATAGTTTTCTTACAATGTGGTTATCTGTTTTTTTTTT